AATTCCAACTTAACTATTTTTTCTTACATCGTCCATGATTTTGTTGTCTTATCGAAGAATCCATTGCCAAATCCAAGGTCATGAAGATCTGCCCCTGTGTTTTACTCTAAGAGTTTTACAGTTTTACCTCTTACATTTAGCTCCTTAATCCATTTTTGAGATAATTTTTGTATAAGATGTGAGGTAGGGGTCTAATTTCACTATTTTGCATGTGGATATCCAGCTCTCCCAGCACTGTCTGCTAATGAGACTCTTCGTTTCCTACTGAATGGTGTTAGCACCCTTAAAGATTAAAGGAACATAGGTGTATAAATTTACTTCTGGACTTTCAAATCTCTCTTACTGATCTATGTGTCTATCCCTACATCAGTACAAAACAGTTTTGATTCCTGTATCTCTGTAGCATATTTTGAAATTAGGAAGCGTGAATTCTCCTACATTGTAGCTCTTTTTTAAGATTAATATTGTTTTTGAGGTCCCCTATAATTCAGTAAGAATTTTGAATTAGCTATTCCATTTGGGATGGAAAAAAAACTGAGATTCTATAGGAATTTCATTGACTCTATAAAGTGCTTTAGTAGTATTGCCAATTTAACAATATTAAATCTTCTAAACCATGAACAGTATATATCTTCTCATGTATAGATCTTCTTTAATTTCTTTCAGCAATGCTTTGTGGGTTTCAGTATAGAAGTTGTGATATCCTTGATTAAATTCACTCAGAAATATTGTATCCCTTCTGTTCTGTCAGCTTGACTCAGATAGTCTGCTATGTTTTGCTTGAGTTGCCCCCCCACCCTCCTGATGCTGCAATCTGAAAACATCTGGGCTCCTCTCGTCTGCTTCCCACATCTTTGGGATCATCGTTCTTGACTGCCTGATATCCAGCACCTTGAAACCATGGCTTCCTATTTTTTTCTGATTTTTGGGTTGTCTCAGAGAAGAGAATAAATCTGGCCCCTGTTATTCCACCTAAGTTGTAAGAAGACATCTAGTTTTGTTTTGTTTACATCATTATAGGCCATCCTATTTTATGTATTTTTATAAATTTATGTAAAAAAAACAACAAAAGCAATGGCATCAATAATCAATCACCCATACTTCCTCTACTGCTGGAAGGAAAACAATCTTCTATATTATTGACTCCCATAGGGAAATCAAGACATTATTTTATCAGGCACCCTACAGCCAGAAAGTGCTCTGTCAGGCCAGTGGTATACACACTGGGATGTCCAATCCATCATTTTTATGTATTTGATTTGTTCTAATCCATTTTTAGCAATTTTCCTTTTTTTATTTTTATTTTTTTGAGATAACAGTCTCATTCTGATAAAGTGGTGTCATCATAGCTCACAGCAACCTCAAATTCCTGGGCTCAAGTGATCCTCCTGCCTCAACCTCCTGAGTGGCTGGGACTATGGGCACACACTATTGTACCCTAGTCTAGTTCTTGCTGAGGCTAATCTTGAACTCCTGACCTCAAGTAATCCTCCTGCCTCAGCCTCCCAGAGTGCTAGGATTACGAGCCAAGCCTCCACGGCCCAAGGATCCCAACATAAGCCTTTTTTATCCCTTTAGTGGTAAACAGATTTAGGCACCACAGTCTAGACACTACATACAGGTAGCCCCCGAGTTACAAACCTCCAACTTACATACAACTCGTACTTACAAACAAGAGCTATTATAGGAAGTCCCCAAGTTACAAACACCTGACTGACGTATAACTTGCACTTATGAACAGAGGGTGTTATAGGTAAAAGGTAAATGTACCTGTTCCAACTTAACATACAAACCCATCTTGTTCGTAACCCCTGGAATGCCTGTATTTGCATTTGCTGAACTTGCTTCTGAAAGTAGGAGAGAGAGCAAGATAGAGCCATCACACAGAGGTACTGTGCAGTGAGGGGCACACACCTGTACTGGAGGAGGCACGATGGATGCTGCCTCATCTAAGTCTCTACCACGCTTACCTGTTGAATGAAAACCTCACAAGTTCTTATCTTTGATCCTAGATATGGATCTCTAAGCTTCCGAACACAGTCAAGCCATGTGTACTCAGTCTTGGCTATTTCTAGACTCTCATTTACATAGTCTTTGCAACTTAGAAAGCAGGCCCCCTACTCAACATCATCTGCTATTAGCAGAATCTATCCAAGTAATAAGAGTGCACCATCAATAAATGTAAACACCAGGCCAGTCAAGACTGAGAACATTAAATACAGTGAAATTAAATCCAAGGGACCACGGTAAAAGGATATCAGAGCTCTTCTCTCTCTTCCCAATCCTCTTGTCTTCCCTTTGGTTTAACAATCTGCGATGTCACAAATCCCTAATTTCCTATCTAACCTACTAACCACTCGGCATTTCTTAATTTTAGTGAGAATCCCTCACAATTCCTTCCACGTCAGTGATTCCTATATTCATGTATTTTTCAGGGTGCAAAAACTCTAGATCTAGAGACAGATCATCTAATCCAAGCACATGATTTCAGAGATAGAAAATTAAGGCATGGAGATTTTATGTCACTTACTTCTATTAGAAACCTTACAAAGAAAAAAAATTAAAAGAAGAAAAAAGAAACCTTGCAAAGGCAGAGATTTAGTGAAGTCATGTGTTAGCTTTTCTAAGTCATGTAAAAGCAAACATATTTAGTCTGATAGCCCTCAACACTGTGTATCTCACAACTCTCTAATCATTTAATTAAAAATTGTGTACTACGATGATAGTCAGGAAAACGTAACTTTTTATGGATACTTATGTATCTGCCAACATTTTATGCATGTCTATGTAATTGTTGCAAAAAAACTCTATCAGAATGGAAATATTTTATACCAAAAAGGAATAATTTCATTAAACTTTGATTTCTACCCTTGGCATTCAAGATAAAACAATTAAAATAGCTTTGCAAAACATGTGCATGTTTGAAATGTCCTCTTATCTTTACTTGAATCCAGAAAACTAAGCAATATTAGTTGCTTAGTTGCACAAACTAGTCTTCTCACCAAAGGAAAGACTTTGTGGAAAAATAAGAATGTTTCTCGGAACTTTGTGGACTAGCTCCGAGTCCAGTCCTACTGCTGACCGGCCAAACCTCTGCTTACAATCTTCAGAACCTTCTCAGCAAATTGAGCTTTCAGCAGACATTTGCTATAGCTGCCATTTTGTCTCAGAGAGTAATTCTGATCTTTAAAGTACCAGTGTACCATAATTTTGGCCATCTCGAAATGCTCAGGGAAGCACTTACTGATCTAATAAGTCTTGTTTTGTCCTTAATGAGTACAATTTCAAGATATCATAAAAATCCCACATATGGTCATGACAACACTTGTGCACAATCTGTTCATCCAAAGGCATTTTTACTCTGCACCATAAACAGCACGAGATGTGCCTGGAAAAACATTCATCTACCGAGATGTTCAGGCCAAGGTTACAGGAAATGAATAAAAAATCATGGTTACATATGATATTCATTACACAGAAATGTTCTGATAGAGCAATAATTGAGAATAACAGGCCTATTCTCATCTCTAGCTTTAGGCTCTGATCCTCAAAATACAATTAAAACTGATCAGTCATGTAAGACACAATACAACCACAGGCTCTCTTTCAGTTACACCAGAAGACTGATTGTATTTTTTAATCAAAATTTGCACTAATTCTCCAGCAATTTAGACACTGCAGCATCAATTTCAAAATTAACAGCTAACATTTACTTAGCACTTGCTGTGGTCCCAACCCTGAGTCAAGCACGTTACACATACTACCTTATTTGATACCCAGAAAAATAATCTGCCCTGAGCCAAGGATAAAACCCCAGATGACAGTGGAGCCCAGGGTCCTATCTACTGTGCGACCCTACCGTAGTCCTATGTAATACAAAAGCATTTGCTCTTTTCCTAGGGAGCAAAGAAAGACATTATTTTTTTCTAAACTGTAAATGCAAAAAGCCCTGAAGAGGTGAAGTCCAAAGAGATCTGGGCTCTTAGCTGGTTTGTTTCAACATTGTGCTAACAACATGGACATTTTCTAACAGTTGTGAGATGAAGGAAGGTTGAAGGAAAAGGTTACTCAGCTAGTAAGTGGAAAAGGCAAGACTAACACTCATTCCATAGGAAAGAGTTAAAATCTATGCAGTAGGCTCGGCGCCCATAGCACAGTGGTTATGGCATCAGCCACATACACTGAGGCTGGAGGGTTGGAACCCAGCCAAGGCCAGGTAAGCAACAATGACAAATGCAACAGAAAACAGCTGGGCATTGTGGCGAGCAGCTGTGGCCCCAGCTACCTGGGAGGCTAAAACAAGAGAATCACTTAAGCCCAAGAGTTTGACGTTGCTGTGAGCTGTGACGCCCCAGTACTCTACCGAGGGCAACATAATGAAACTTTGTCTAAAAAAAAAAGAAAAAAAGAACAACAAAATCTATGCAATAATTAATAAATTGTAGGTAATACATAGGTACATTTTATAGTAACCATTTTTCTATGACATAAATGTAAGAATTAGCTTCTAATCTTTTAGAGCTCTGGAAAGCATTAAAGATAACACATTAGTAAGAGATTAAAGGCTTGCATTTTGACCACTGCTAAAATATGAAATGTCATCTATTTGGTATATAAGTGAGCTCTGTGAGCTACAAGGAAAGTTTCTGACATGGATTCAACTCTAGTTGAAGACCTAGTGATATGTGAGGATAAAATTCAATCAAAAAATCTACTAAGCAAAAGACAGTAAGCTAACATCTAAATAATTCTTGTCACATGTATCAGTTTCTTTAATGCGTGTATTTCACAGTCATTAGCAATGAAGAGGCAAAAAAGTAAGATTCTTGTTTAAATAAGTATCTCATTTCATAAAGGATGTTTGGTATTTTCCCTGGACTGACTTTATCAAACTTCTCTAACGGTTTGACTATTTCTTATTCAAGTGCGTTTAGCAAGACCACAGTCTATCACCTGAATGATACTCAGGAATGCAGAGGAGGTGTAACTGTAGTACCCACCTTGGTGAGGTGAATGACTCCTTTGGAAGTGACCGAACAACCCATGAAGCCAACATACTGCAGCTCAGGACAGTGCTCAGCAAATGCTTTCACCGACTGGTCTGTCACCTAGGGAAAGCCACCAAGAAAATTATGCAAGGCAGTGTTCCAGTGAACTCAGGCTTGACTCCCACCTCCTTTGCACCATTCCCAATCCCCTTTCCATTAGATCCATTAGATCGCTTTAATCAGCATGAAAGCAGGCTGCAATGTCACCTATATTTTTAAAACATAATTCCTTGACCCCACATCCACTTCTGTCCTCACACCATGTTTTAATACTTCTTCACAGAAAATGCCTCAAAGAGATGTTGGTACTGGCTATCTCCATTTCTTCACCTCCCCTCCTCTCTCCCTCTTTCTTCCTTCTCCTCATCCTCTCTCTGTTATGTATTTATGTATATACTTCATTGGCATTAATTCACATACCATAAAATTTGCCCTTCCAAAGGTTACAGTTAAGTATATTCACAAGGTTATTCACCATCACCAATACCTAATTTCAGAACACATCCACCACCCCAAAAAGAAACTCCACGCCGGTCAGCAGTCACCCTCCTAGTCCCCTTCCTCCAAGCCCAGCACTTTCTGTTCCTGTGATTTACCTATTCTGGACACTCTACAGTACCCTATCCTCTGTGACCTCTGATGGCTGATGTCCTTCACTCAGCATGTTTTCAAGGGTAACCTATGTTGTAACACATATCAGCACTGCACTCCTTCTTATTGCTGAGTAATATCCAGTGCGTAAATACACCACAGACTGTGATCGGTTAATATGTATCCCCCTAAAATTCACATTTTGAAGTGCTGAGCCCCAATTCCCTCACAATGTGACCTTATTTAGAAACAGAATGGTTTGAGTTCTTTGTAGATTCTGGATGTTTTCCCTGTAATAGATGTGCAGTTTGGAAATATTTTCTCCCTCTCTGTAAGTTATCAATTCACTCTATTGATTATTATTTCCCTTGCTATGTAGAACTTTTTAATTTAACCAACTCAATTTATTTCTTTTTGGTGTTGCTGAATTTGCCCCTGGTGTCTTAGTTATAAATTCTTTTGCCTAGGCTGATGTCTACAGAGCTTTTCCTAGATTTTCTTCTAATTTTTGTATATGGAAAGAGATTAGGGTCCTCTTTCACTCTTCTGCACGTGGCTAGTCAGCATTCCCAGCCCCATTTGAACAGGGCTCCTTTGCCTCAGTGTATATTGTTATCTGCTTTGTCAAAGATCATTTGGTTATAGGTAGATAGGTTTTTTACCTCAGTTCTCTATTTTGTTCCACTGGTCTATGTGTCTATTTTTGTACCAGTACCATGCTCTTTTCATCATTTATTACAGCCTTATAAAATAATTTGAAGTCTGGAGTGTATCCAGATTTGCTTAAGATCATTTTGGCTATTTAGGCCTTTTGGCGGTGGGGGTGGTGGTGTCCGAGTGAAGCGTGGAATTTTCTTTATCTGTGAAATATGATATGATGTTGGTATATTGATGGGGATTGTGTTAAATCTGTAAATCATTTTGGGCAGTATGGACATTTTAACAATGTTGATTCCATTAATCCATAAGCATGAGATGTTTTCCCATTTGCCTGTGTCATCTGCAATTCCTTTCATCAACGTTTTGTTCTCCATATACAGATCTTTCACCTTCTTCCTTAAATACATTCCTAAGTATTTTATTTCCTTTGTAGCTATCATGAACGGTATTAAGTCTTCTCTCAGCTTGCCTATTATATAGAAATGCTGCTGGTTTGTGTACATTGATTTCATCCAAGGATCTGTATTATTTTTTTTTTTTTTTTGAGACAGAGTCTTACTATGTCACCCTTGGTACACTGCCACAGTGTCACAGCTCATAGCAACCTCAAACTCTTGGGCTAAAGCAATTCTCCTGTCTCAGCCTCCCAAGTAGCTGGGACTACAGGTGCCTGCCATAACATCCGGCTACTTTTTGGTTGCAGTTGTCATTGTTATTTAGCAGGCCCGGGCCAGGCTCTAACCCACCAGGTTTGGTGTATGTGGCTGGTACCCTACTCACTGAGCTACTGGTGCTGAGCCAAGGATCTGTATTTTTAACAAGCCCCCCCCTCCCAGTGTCTCTTAGATATGCAAGGGGTTAAGGTTCCAGTGTAATTTCTAACCAGGTCTGCTTTAAATGAATGGGAGAATAAAATTCCTTTCTGTCATCCTTATCACCAACAGCTTCTACTTGTAAAATTTTCTTCTTGCGCTAAGATTTTCTTCCTGGTTTCACAAAGCTGCAGCTTATAAAAGAAAGTCCAAATATCTTCTATCATACACTTAAATTCAGATTCCCTTTCCTCATGGTCAAGAGGAAATCAACAGGTAAAACATCTCTGTTAGTTTTTAAATAGTGACTTACATCTCTTCTACATTAGCTTTAATACGAGTGACTTTTTTTGTATCTTCCTTGTCAATGCTGAACAGACATTGGAAAGCAGAGGTATGTGAGTAGCATTAATTTTAAAATAATCATAAGAACATTTTCCTAAAATAATGAAACCAACAATATCCATGGTACATCTGATAAAAGATTAATTCTGCACTCAAAAGTAAAGTATGTTTAAGCATATTAAGACAAAGGGTGCCATTCATAAATTAAAAATGGTCTTTCCTGACACTCAGCTTTCTGAAGGCGTTATGCTAACAAAGAATATGTAAGGCATTAAAACTGGCAAAGGTTCAATGAAACTGAGTTGCTATTAAAAACAAAAACGGGGAGCTGAGGTTAAGTAGATGGTCATTTGGTTAAACACCCTGCTCAGTCTCAATCTAACATCAAGTCTTTCCTACATGGGTCTTCAGAGAGGACAGTGGAACTCAGATAAGGATCAAGGACCAAAGAAAACTTAGACCAAGAGGCTTGAGCTTTCAGAAAAATGTTTTAAAAATTCACTTGGTGGGTCTTTCTCATTCAGCCCAAGCAGTCAGAGTCAGACAGCCCAGAGGGGTCTCCAACACCAAGAGGGCCTAGAAAGCAAGAGCAGAGTGAGATGCTGGGGTCTGACACACTCTAAGGAGTCTTGGGTATGCTTCTGAGACCCATAAAAGAGCACTGAACACTTGTGTAGCATTCAGCTCCACTTCCAAAGTTAGAGGGGGCAGGGAGGGGTCTGGGCGGAAGGTCTGCCAGAAATAGACCGCAGACTGCAGATCACAGGGCCCCACCTCCAGGGGGTGTCAGCCCCTCTGGGACTCTGGAGTCTGACTACCCAGCTTCAAATCCCAGCTGCACCATGTACTATCTCTGTGCTTCCTAACAAGCCATTTCACCTTTGTTCCTTCCATAATATGGAGAAAATAACAGTACCTACCTCACAGGGCAAAGTGAGGGTAAAAATTTTAAAAAGTATGAGGCATATTACAAACACTCAGTAGATTTCAGCTATTATTGTCCTATTCATCCTAGGTTCCTCTTTCTTCTATTCTCTGATTCTTAACCAGGAGACTGAGGGGTCCACATGTGGAAGAGAACATTCACAAACAATATAGGTAAAGCATGCTAGTTTACTCTCCTGATCGTTGCGAGTGATCCCAATCATATCTTGGGGCTCTAGGTTAGGAGCCAGACAGTGGAGGAGGCATGAAGGAGACATAGGTAAAAGTTTCTATCTGGGTCATTACGGTAGAAAGAATCCCATTTTGCCAAGATTTTTAACCTGTTTGCACACTAGAATCACTGGAAGAGTTATCTGACTTAATTTTCTGATGGAGATCTGCACCAATTTTATTTTAAAAGGTCACTAGGGGATTTCAATGTGCAGGCCGGGGTATGAAAAGTTCTAAGGCCTTCTGTGTCAAGTGTGAGTCTCAGAACAGCAGCAGCAGCAGCAGCACCCTGAAGCTTGTTAAAAACACAAAATCTCAGGCTCTGACACAAACCAACTGAATTCTCATCTGCATTTTAAAAAGATCCTCGGGTGATTCTTACACACCTTAAAGCTTGAAAATTACTGCTCAAGAGATGAAGGACTTTGTCATCTTTTGGGATGAGGTGAAACAAAAACCAAGCTGCTCTGCCATAATCCCAGTGTGATGGTGAATTTTTTAACAGCTTTACTGAAGTACCATTCACATACCATAAAACTTACCCATTTTAAAAGTATTGTCCACTGAGTTCTAGTACATTTCTCAGTTATGTGACTATCACCACACTCCACTTTTTGAATACTTTCCCTCCACCACCCCCAAATTCTCCTTATTCTTTATGTTCATATGTAGTCCTTTCGCCCAGGCCCAGGCCCAGGCCCAGGCCACCACTGGTCTACATTCTGTCTCTTTTGCCTTTTCTAGAAATTTCACATAAGCAGATGATATCGTAATGACCCTTTTGCCTCTCACTTCTTTCACTAGATAATATTTCTGAGGTCCACCCGTGCTGCCACATGTGCCAGGAGTTCACTTTATCACTAAGTAGAAGTCCACTGTACAGATACATGACAGCTTGTCTATCTGTTCTCCAGGTGATAAATATTTAAAGTGTTTCCAGTTCGGCAAAGAACGCAGCTGGAATCATTCACATAGAAGTTTTGTACAGATAAATACACATATTTTCATTCTTCTTTAGTACAAATATCCAAGAGTGGAATGGCTGAGTTATGTTTAATTTTATCCATTTTAAAAAATGGCTTGTCTCATTAAGTTGCAAGAGTTCTTTATGTATTCTGAATATAAGTCCTTTATCAGATATTCGTTTCTTCCCCTCTGTGTCTGGTCTTTTCCTTTTTAAAACAGTGTTCTTAGTTCTACTTTTTAGGTCTATGGTGTTCTTGGAGTTATATATGGTGTGAAGTAAGGGGAAAGGTTACATATGTATATACAATTTTCCCAGCACCATTGGTTGAAAAGACCATACCCAATACAGGAATTGTAAAGCTCCAGCCTAGACTGTATTAACTTGAAGAACCACACTCACAGACGGTGGGGAAGCCAGGCAGTAGGTGACAATTAGTATGCAGACAGAAATGCAACTTCAGATTTGGAAAGAAGCATCAGAAAATTAGGGACGAATCAGATCAGCTTACAGAGCACATTTTGATCTTTACT